GCTCATTCCGATCGGGCGTCTCTCGCCACACGGCCTAACAGACTCCATGTCGGACCTTCTCAAGTCCTCCTCCGTAGGAATTCGCTGATCTCCCTAAAGATCGGCCTGCGAGAACTCCCTTCTCGCCCCTATAACTCAGGAATATATCACGTTCTTCCCCGTTTACTACTCCCAAATATAATTCCACCTCAAAACACTTTCTTACTCCATATTCCCTACATCTGTAACCATAGGTTAACCTACAATACATAAATTCAATATATATTACCACAAATCAATTTTGAAACTCCAAATTCTTCTTACCTCTTGTTTCTATACTCTTCTCTCTCACTAAATCTACCACGACCTCACGTCTTTCAGAACTTTCGATCAATCGCCTCCTGCACTAACCTCTGATCACTCCCTTTCGCAATCGTCTCTCTCTCTCTCTCTCCCATGCTCTTTGTTTTCCTATTTTCCTTTATTTCCCTCTTTCATTTCCTCTCTTTGACCGACGCCCTTTTATACCCCACCTAACTTCACATCCTAATCGTCCATCCTACTTCCTTACATGCCTGACTATTACATAGTACATGACTTTTAATAATAAGATCATTGTATTATTGATTTATATGATTAGTGAATATATATAAAATATCTTGCAACATACTTAGACCAACCACCAAAACCTCTTAAAAAGGAGTGGCTTATCATTCATACACGTAGCATGAAAAATAATTAGGTACGACGTTTATGCCTTAAATTTTAAATTTTAATTTAAAATATTTAACTTATAAATTAAAATTAATGTAAAAATTCTAATTATTATATTAAAATTTTAAATCAAATTACTTCAAGATTAAAATATTTTTAAAAAATGTTGTCTTTTTTTTATTTTACTCTTAATTTAATGATTAATTTGTTCTAATTTTTTTTTTTAACAATTTATAGTTAAAAAATGCAAAGATATTTTGAACAATTAATATCGTGACAATATTGTATAATACATATATATATATATGTATATACATGTCTTGTTCCACTTCGATGTACCTTTAGACAAATACAAAATTCATGTCTAAAAGTATTCCTTGTATTCTTTTGTTTATTTGCATGTTATATACATATACATATATATATATTTGTGTATGTAATATATTTAATACACTAAAATTTATCCACAAAAAAGTGAAAAAAAATCTAAAAAATAAAAGAGAAACATATCATAAAAAATAATATATATATATATATATATTATAAAAGACAAAGGTAGACACAACCAAGCTGGCCAAATCTGTCAATTAGTGAGAATCTAATTTCAACAAAAGAAAAAAGCAAGACAACATGATTCAACATGTGAAATTTTGTCCACGAAATACAAATTCTAGATTTAGAATTTTTCATAGGCAACAAATATTAACCTTCACAATTATATGATTATATCACCACAAAAATACTAAATATCATACCAAAATAATTAAACAAAAATAAATAAATTACTTTTTTTTACGATGCAAATAATAAATTATATTTTTTTACACGTTTTTCAAACCACAACTTATCGCAGGTAATTTATAATTTTATTCGTAACTCACAATTTATGATTGTCGTAATTTTGAATCATTTTTTCAATAACTAAATCAAATATTATGAATCGACGACTACAGTTCTATAATACGGTCATAAAGTGCTAATGCATCAATAAATTAAGTTATCGATTTTATTAAATCGAATATTATAAATTGATTGTCGTAATTCTATAACATACCCACAAAATATAAATTTTTATATTTTTTAAGAATGTTTAAATTCATTACATTTAAATAGAACGTAAAATTTATAAACACTAAAACACTATATTGTTAGTAAAATAAAGTTCTAATTTACTATATATACGATTGTAAAATATTTTTGAAAATTTACTATTATTATTTACGTATGTTATATAAAAGAAATTATATATAGACCGCGATATGGATAAAATTTATCTTTTTTTTCCATCAATTCTTTTACAATTATATAAAACTTTACAGAGTAAATAATTTTATATATTTAAATATCAAATTGTAAAACAAAAAAAAAAAGTAATTCAATGAATAAAAATAATAATTTATAAAATAAAATTGGAAAACAGAGCAAAACGACAAGAATCGATGCGTTTCGCCTTTCCGTCAAGCATTATTGTAATTAGAAAGTGACAAAGATTGAACTGTTGATAGCAATGTGTGTGGTCTGAAAACTGACTTATCATGTGCCCCCCCCAACAAGAATAAAAAATGGAGATACTTATCAGATCACATCAGATCAGATCAGATCAAACCGGGGCGGCACAAATCTAAAATTAGAAAAAATCTGTTGCCTTTTTGTAATTAACTCTAAAATTTGGGGGGAATTGTAAATTCAGAAAAATAAAATACGAGACTTCGATTAGTCCTTTATTGAAAAGTCCGTGAAAGATGACGGCCAAGAACCATCAAGGTGGTGGAAAGGAACTTAACGGTCACGAGATGTCCGTTGAATTCGACTACTTCAACTTAGATATATAGGATCTAGATACACCTCCTCTTATATTATAAGTATTATATAAATATAAGCAATTATCATAACACGTGTATTATTACCAGTAATGATTAAAATTTTATGTATGCATTTAAATTTATCTTATATTATATATTTTATTACTTTATATGTATTTTATAAGTTGACAGTAATTAATTTATAATATTAAATTTAACATATTTATAATTTAAATAATTAATATATTAATAAAATTATAATAATTAAATTAAATTTTATTATAATAAATTAAATTAAATTTTATTATAATAAATTAAATAATTAGGTCATTTTAATTTTGTTACTTCTAAAGTAATATATACATATATATATATACACGTTAACATAGAAAAATATATATATACATATATAAGTTAATTATAATGAGTTAATACGTGATCCCATTTTTTTTAATATAAAAATATATGTCACCCTTCATTCACTTGAAAAAAAAAAAACTATAAGGTAAAGTTTTAATGAAAAATTATAAGATTTAATTATCTATTGTTTAATATTTATCGTAAAAAAGTTAATACTTTATAATTATTTATTGTTATTATTTTATTATTATTTGACTATATTGTAAAAGTAAGGTATTATATATATAATGACATAACTACGTGGCTACTGATGTAATAACCCATGTGTACTTACATATATAAATGTGTAATTATTTGGTATTAATTAATAATGTATGGTCTAAGCTATTACTTGATGAGTTATTTCCTATTTTAGTATAATATTTTCATATCATATAAATTTTAATAAAAATAATTTACATAAAATTATTAAAATATAATTCATATTATATAAAATATTTATAAATTAATATTGCAAACCCACAAAATATTAATTAATTAAGGTCGGAATTTTTGGCATATAATAAAAAGGGTTAGAATTAAAAATACTTGTAATATTTTATAAATTAATAAATATATTATTTTACCAATAAATAACAAATTATTAAGTCAAAATAAAATAATTAGACTTTTAATGTCGTGGGTTTCCCTTCTTAATAAAGGAATTTTGGACGGTGAATAAATATATATATATATATATATATATGAAATTATTAATTTAATAATTTAATAGTGTAAAGTTTATAATCTAATCTTTAATTATAAGTTATGAAGCAATTGACTTTGAATTTTTTGATTACATAATTATTAAACATAAAATTATTTCAAATATAATTTTTAAAATAATTAATTAGAGATATATTAATTTTAATATTAAATTTATTAATGTTAAGTTTCAGTTGTCATAATTTTTAATTTTTATTAAAAATAAATAAATAAACAGAAATATTATTTTTGGTAAAATTTAAATTATAGAAAAATTATTAAATATGGAAATGTAATTAAAAAATTAATTATATTGAGATTAAGATGATAATCTGTTAATTTACAGAAAATTAATTTTAAAATCTTATTTAGAGGGTGCCAGAGTTGAAAAAGCAGTGGTTGCTTTATTTGTTATTTTCTTGTTTTTTTTTTTTAAGCCGCTTGATTGTGATCTCCACTGTTTTAAAGAAGAGAGTCAAACCTTGATGGAAAAAGCAACGGTCAGGATTCACAGTACAGTTATTGGTCAGTGTGAGTGACTACATGTAATTTTTCACTCCCCTCCAGTTACGTTATGCATCCCATTTCTCTCTCTCTCTGTCTCTTGCCAGCAGCACACGTCTCTCGTTCTCTTTCTAAAATTTCTCTCTGTGCAGATTTGGAAATTTGTTGATTCTTCTCCTGAAACTCTCTCTCTCTCTCTATATATATACGCGTATTATTAATAGCTGAATATAAGCTAGTTTTGATTGTCTAGGAATTGAAAATCGAATTTTACGGGGTTGAGGAGCTGAGGAATCTCTTAATTTCCGCGGAGAATTTCGAAAGAGTGGAAGATTTTTGTTAGTTTTCTATTTGGTCGTTGGGAGAAAAGAAAAATCTCTTTTCGAATTTCTCTCGGCGTATGTATTTGGAAATTCTCGGTTCTTCAATTACCTGGAAAATTCTACATGCTGAGGGGCTTTTTCTCAGTTTAATGCCTCGCCATTCGCATATTGCTTATTGTTTTGAGCGATCTGGTAAGCTTTCTGAAACTACTTGTTCTGGTTTTGTTTGTGCTGTTTGGTTGATTAGAAAACGCGAGGAAAGAGGACAAAAGAAGATTCAATTTCGGTGGTTTTTGCTAGCTGTCATTCTGAAAAGAGTTAAAAAAGAATTATTTGAGCGGAACTTTAATGATACAACTCCTTTTTTTCGCTATTTTTCGTGCATTTATCGTCAGTGATAAATTTTATAGTTTTTTTTTTTTTTTTAATCTTTTTAGGACAAAGAATTTGCTGCAGGTTTGTTTGAATCCATCTTTTGAATTCAGTTTTTTTCTTCTTTATGACATTATAAGATTTCTAGAGATTTCCTGGAGATTTCTATTAACTTCTGAGACTTTGTTTGGGTGGTATTCTTTTTCAAAAAAGCGGAACGTGAATTTGAAAGAAGTATCTTCTTGTTTCGGCCGAGATAAAACTAGGCATTCGTCGTGTTATGATAATTTTGAAGTTTTGAGCTCGGATTTATGAAGAAATGAGACGAGATTTTTTTCTAATTGATTTTTTCTTGGCATGCTTTTTATTTGCATGTTGACTTCTTTATTGCAGAGTTCATGTGATTCATGAGATTCCGTGATTCATGAAATGGACAGTTCAGAGACATAAATTTCATCCGTGAAAATCCCAATCTTGGAAGTAACTTAATCAGCATTTTTATTATTTGCACTCTATAATTGTTTGGTGGCACGAGATGGACACCATGGCATCCGCATTCAATTTCCTTGCGATGAGATTGCAAGCATTGTCCACTTCTGATCATACATCTGTTGTTTCTATGAATCTCTTCGTGGCCCTTCTGTGTGCTTGTATTGTGATTGGTCATCTTTTGGAAGAGAATAGATGGATGAATGAGTCGATCACCGCCTTGCTGATTGTAAGTTCTCTCTACTTGTGATGAGAATCCATTTCATAAGTTCCTCTTCCCCTCACCTCTCCTCCCTCCCCTTTTACTTGGTTGGTTTCTAGACGTTGAAAATCTGAAGAGTAAGCTTAACTGATCCAACAAGAGATATTTAGGTTGGGGTGATTTCTGGTTTATTTCTTTTGTTGGGAGTTTATATCTTACGATGAAATGTATTCTGATTTTATTGGTCTCAGGGCCTTTGCACTGGTGTTGTTATTTTGCTGATTAGTGGAGGCAAAAGCTCTCATCTCTTGGTCTTTAGCGAAGATCTTTTCTTCATATATCTTCTGCCGCCTATTATATTCAATGCGGGGTAAGTTTGTCTAAAACTTAATCGTTTGTCTTCCAAGTGAACGATTATGAATTCATGGTTGATTATGTCATTTGTTGTTGTTCCTTTGTTAGTGGTTTTAGTTACAATTTTTTCCTCTCTTGGTAGTTGAGAGTTCATTATGATTGTGGCAGATGGCGTGAGGTAATTTTCTTTTAATCAGCTCTCTTTTTTTCAGGTGTGACTGATGATTGTCCTTACATCAATAAAACCTATTCCCTTAAAACTCTTATTGTTGTATATAAGTTACATTTGACAATGTTATCTATCAGCAACAGAACACTAAATAAGAAGAATAAATTGGTATTAATAGAGCAAAAGAGGCCGGAAAGAGTACAGAAATCTTTATGTAGAGCTATATAGGAATTATCTACTCCCCTTGTTTGTATTTCATTAATTTAATGCTGTCTGATCAAGGCCACATTCTGTAAAAACCCCTACATTAAGTGCGAGGTTTCTATCACGTGGACTGATGCAATTCTCAACTGGACAATTTTGTTACATGAGAAACCATGGGACAGAGTTGTCCAAGTAGAGAAGCACAAATCAGTTTCTTGTAATTTCAAGAATAGACTTCAATCTTTCTTCTCTGTTCCGCCATGAGTACATAACATCTTCGTTCTCTCTCAACTCTCAAATACTTTTTGGCCGTTAATTGGCCAGTGGCTCTCCCATAATGGAAGTCTTTAAATGGAGATATGATCTGAATGAACTGAAAAAATAGTTTGGTCCTTTGTTTGGATGTTAAAGGATAAAACAGCGTAAAAGTGCTTATCCACAGCACAATTTTGTGACATGAAAAAATCATGGGACAAAGTTATTCAAGACAAGGATCCTCCACAGATTAATTTTGTGACATTCCAAGGCTGTTAGCCTATGAGCGGCAAGTTCTGGCCATCGAGACTGGCTGATTGGCCAAATTAGGTGTTTCAACTTGAATGCCTGTTCTTGGTCATGCTTAGAGCAAGATAAAAAGCTTCTGCTAAGAAAAGCATGTTTTTCTTGCTGTGATTAAAAGCTTGTTGTTAAATACAGTGTTTGATGATTTGCATCTTTTAAAATGTTGTTGAAGATGTAACATTTGTGCCTGGTAATAATGCTTTTGAAAATATTAGTTATATGATAACAATATCTTCAAAAGCATTATTTTTATTTCAGAAAATAATGCTTTTGAAGATATTATTATCATATAACTAATACGATTTTATTGCATTTACAGAAAAATTATTTTTCTAAGAATGTCCGATATATTTAAACATCTTTTATGGGATATTTTCTAAGATAATATGCACAATTTGGTAACTAGTAAAAACTCATTAACTGTTGCCCTTGTATTGCTTTCAACTAACTTTATTTCTTTTATTCATCTTGTATTGCTTTACGGAGCCAATCCAATGAATGATCCAAATGGTTGACTTATTGACCTTTTTACTGACAGGGACCTTGACGACATAAATGATGATTATGGTAGATAGATATTCTTTTTTCTTTCCTGCTGTTTGTTATCTTGTGGAGTATCATGTGTATATGATGATTGTCCCCAATTACGTTGTTGTTGTGAGCATAAACCCATACAGTTATTTCAGTATGATGCTTCCTTCTTGTTTAGCATTGCTCA